GATTAATGCTGGGCGATATGTAATTTGTCTGGGACGAGACAGAACTTGACTCGATGCAAATGGTATTGTTGTTATTATGATTGACGGAAATTCGGTAAAATGTTGGAATCAACACGAGTTTGTCAGTAAAATGTTACTTTTTCAATTGATATTGAACAATGACGCTGTATCCAGCGTCTATAACCCAGCAACTATGAAAATCCGGAAAAAATCTGCACTAATTATTGGTCCTTCAACATCCGCAATAACGAAATGTTGAGTGAAATGCTCTTCAAATCGAAATAAGGTAATGAAACAGTATAGTGTATCAGTATGTATTTACGTGCGTGCCGTATGCATACAGCACGTACTCCGTTCAAACTGGCATCCAAGTAACCAAGATTCGATCCGAGCACACAATGGGCCAGTGAATCGAAGGCTTGTCTGAAATCAGCAAAGAGAGTATGGACTTGCCACTGACGAATTTTATACGAAAAATGGTCAGTTCGACTTAAGACAGAATTACTAAATGAATGATTTGGTCAGAAACTGGGAGGTTCAAAGGTAGAGTTATGTGTTTGGAACTGGATTCGTTGAAATTCTTAGATATGTTCTGTTGAAACCTAAATTGAATTTGGAAGACGAAAATAATTGATTTTGCCATCTATGTGAATTAATTAAATTCTGCGAAGCTAGTTATTTTTTAAATATATTTTTGGCCAGCATTTCTCAATGAATGGAAACCATGGGAAGGCGGTAGACGTATTCCGTCGGGAAAAATAATGGACGGGCACTAAAGGGCAATATTAATTAAAAGGGATCTGCCAAGTTTACTAAAAAATAATTTTGAAAATACGTACCGAACCTTTCATTGGATTGAATAAAAGTTATAGGCAATGCTATGTTGTTCTTTTACTATTTTCTAGTAAACTTGGCTAATCTCTTTAATATCGCTCTTTAGTGCCCTCCAATAATTTTTTCTGCCCACATGCGCCGAAAGTGAGCATTCTAACCGAACGAAGTGAGTATGAGTATGTAGGCAGAACAATCGTATTCAACACTCGGGAGGAAACACAGACAAGCATTCCCCACCTGCAAAATTACTACCCGAGCCGAAGGCTTGTCTACTTTTCCTCTCTAGGGGAGAAATATACTATTCCTCTATTTTTTCATTATTTTATACTAAATTTTAATACATTTTAGGCTAAAAAGATGAAATTAAACAAAAAGATAACATTCTATAGATAGTCCATATGGGTGTTAATCAATTTTATTGCTTGAATAAATGATTGCGGGAGTACTGGAGCATGACATTGTCGAATTTCTTCATCCCCTCTGAAATTTAACACTTTTTTTCTGACATTTCATTAGTAACCTCAGCTTTCATAATAAATAAAAACGTAATGGAAATGGAAAAGGGAATTTTTCTATTCTTGACTCGTTTCCCTGCTTTTCATTTCCTTCAGCGGAATTTCTCCCCTTTCCCTTTTCTTTTGTTAAGGGTTACCGCCACTTCGGTTGATTTCAGAGTAGGAGCATGGTTCAGGGGAGCAGGGCCGTAAAGGCCCATTACCTGATAGTGTGCTCTCGTCTACCCTTTGTTATGCACTAATGGAGGTTGAGAGCACGACTTGCTCTCAAAGCATAGGTTGCTCGGCCTTGTTCTAAATTGGTGACATAAAAATACAAAAGCCAACCCTTTTAATGGACGATTGTGTGTGACCTTGGGCAGGGAGTAAATATATGAATTTTCCCGTCGAAGGCACGAAAATCAGGAACTTCATTCTCGTCTAACCATTAAGGGGAACTTGCTATGATTTACGGGTGGATCTGAAATAATAAGGGGGAGGGGGGTTTGAATGATTACTCGGGGAGGGGTCTATAGAGATTAAACTTTACTCTTTTCACGTTTCCTTTCAACAAATATCTATACAACAAATAATCAAGGCCTTTTGCCTACTAACTAATTAACTCGAGGGTGGGGGTAAGGCTAACTCACTTGCGGCTACGCGAACAATATAACAAAAAAAAGGGGGTGACTCTACCTTTGAAAAAAGGGAGAAGTGAGGGGGGCCAACTGTAAAAGTAATAATTAATAGGGGACTTGAATTACAAAGAAAATGAATTTACTGGAGGCTCACCGTTGGGGGGAAATTATATTCAGGGGCCGGGAAACTCGTTGGGGCAGGGAATAAAAATGGGGCACTCACGGGGAATGGTGTCCTCAGAATTCTTTCGGTTTTCCACTGGGCTTATGCCTCCTTCCTTCCTTCTCTCTCTCTCTCTCTCCACTCTCTCCGTATATCCTCTCCACAATAGTTTTCCTCCTCACATTCTTTCCAATATAGTTCCTCTCACACACGAAAATAGTTCCTCTTCTCACAATAGTTCGCCTCCTCACATTCTTTCCAATAGTTCCTCTCACAGTATTTCTCAAAATAGTTCCTCCAATAACTCCTTTTGCACACTAATTCCTTTCCTCACACTTTGTCTCTTCACGATTTGTCAGGGTCTTTTCACAGGGTCTCTTCGGGGTAACTCTTTTACTTTACGGGGCAGTGACTCGTGGGGCAGATGTGGCACGAGTGATTTCTTTCAATCATCCTCACCTTTTTCACTCGATTACGGCGAAAATCCGTGCTAATCGGGGGTAATCGTGATTGTGTGTTCTTTTCCGCCTTTCGACATGGGGGACTCGCTCGAGGGCTGTCTCTTTCTTCCGGGATCACGTGGGGTCCTCTTCCTTGATGCGTGAGTGCTAGGGCAAGAGGGAGTAGGGGCGGGGGTAAGGAATATCTGAGGATGGATTGTCCAACGGTGGCAAAACGATTAACTTAAATCTAACTTAGCCTAAGAAAAAAAAAGATGTATTAATTAGGCGGCAGGGGGGGCGCAAAATTCTGCCTCGTCACATGTGATATACTGGAATGATATGTAATATTCGACCGTATTTTGGCGATACGTGAACAATACTCGTGCAATTTCAACGTATGGCAAAAATCGATTAAAATGATTACTTTTCCGTTTTCATTAATAATAAAAATAGTGAAGGATAGAACTGGGATTACCGCTAATAAATGGTAAGTAGGCTCGAGATTTTCGTTTAATGATGATACTCAATGGAAATAGTATATACCACTTAGCACACAATTTCTTAGGATTTCTAAATTAACTCATGAGGAATTTGCAGATGAATTCCTTAGAAATTTGCAGATGAATTCCTTAGGAAATAATGAGCAATCCTCCCCAAATCCCGAGGAATCCCTCTGAAAATCCTAAGGAATTCCCAAGGAATCCCCCTCCAAAACTAAAAAATTCCTCTGGAATTCTTAAAAGGAATACATAGAGGATTTTGAACAAGACCCACGCATGTTGTTACTCTATGCTATATGCATTTCCCGACGTCTCTCACACGCTGTTGTCATATCTCAGTCGACATCTACCACTCACACTTACGTGACATAACTCAGCCCTCTCATGGGCCCTCGTTCATTTTTAATTATTTAAAATTGGTTGAGTAAATTTTTTTTTTCCTATTTTTCTAGTGTTCAGGAGGGGTCCCTGAACGCGTGGTCGGGAGGTTTACACTTATTATGTTACACCCTGTATATACCTAAGTTGAGATCGCAAATTTTTATTTTTGACATTTAGATTTACAATACTTGAGAGGAAAATAATAATTGCCAAAAGCGATTTCCGAAATATATTTTCCGAGATTTTTCAATTTTTCAATTTAAAACTTAAAATTAAAAACTGAAATTTCTCGCTAATTGTGGCGAGCCAGTCATTTTTATCTGACTGGTCCGCCACGCTACGTGGCTGACGGGAGTATCGTTGCTACTGGGACTTATTCGCAGACAAAGGTCCTACAGGTTAGCAAACCCTGGTGCGTTGTGCCAGTTCTTCTAAGGGAAAGGATAATACGGGGGAAGGAGTTACCCAGCGGTGTCGTAACAAATCGAAACCTCAGAGTAATAAAAGAAAATTGGATGAATAAATGGTAAATGTGTAGTTCAGGTCCACCATTCTGGATGTGTATTATTTGGTTGGATGGGTTTCCGTCGCCCGATTAAGGATCTGGTCACCTTTTTATCCGGAAACAATTAGTGTGGAAGATATAACATTTAATACACCGCTCTCTGCGTAATCCAGGACCACGACGAAGACGTGGCGGTGTGTTGGCCCCAAAGACACCACATCTTCGCGCATTTGAAGACAATGGACACACAGAAAGATGAATTTATCTAATAGTCCTGAGCGCTTCACTAAAATTCTGAATTCACCTCAGCCGACTATCTACCATCGCTGAATGAACACCACGAGTGATTTATCCGCCGCTACCCTTTTGTAGCTATTCAAAATATTGAATTTAATGTCACTCACTCGTCGCGTCAACAGCGACAGCATTTAAGGAATTTGAGAGACAACAGAATTTACCTCGGCACTATTTTTCGATGTATTTCCCTCCTTGTTGTTTCTTACTCTCTTCTTTCGTCTTGTTCTGGGTAACTGAGAGGATAAGAATGGATTTTCTGTCAAAGAAATTAATATTTCAATAATTTTTGTTTTTTGGTGGACCTAAACCATACATTTACCGAGTAAATTAATTAGGGGCTAGTGGGCGGGGCTGAAAAATCTGCCTTATCACAAAGTACATATTGATATAGTTTTCAAAATTCGCATCGTATTTTCCATTCATAAGTAAAATGAAAAAAGCAACAGGTGCTGAGAAGTACGAACATGTCTCATGTCTCACAGCATAGATTGTTTCAACAATATCGATGTTCCCGTAAAACTAACCAATTTTAAGCACAAAAAAAATATCGAGAAACTCTTCGTATATGAAAGAAAATTGTTGTGAATGCAATACTGCGTCATTTTTAGCCTATACTTTCTTATTATCGTAATTAATACACACTCAAAAGTAGAAACAATATTCATTGATTTGATTTTACTGTATTCAATCATTTTATTAATTGTAAATTGGAAAGTTCCACCAGATAAAGTTGTCAAAATTTCAGGAATATTACCCTGTGAATTACCTGAGAAACATCGCAATATCCAGGGTTTCTACACCATATATATTCCAGGTAGATGTAGATTTCCTCCCCCAAGTGGATCTTTATGAGAATCTGCAATTGTATATGATGAAATTAAATCTCACTGAGGTAGACAAAACGGCTCTAATAGTTGCAGCATTCGAGACTCAACGTTACAGGTAATAAAGAAAGGCGGAATGAATGAGCGTTTTGTTTGATTCATAAATTAGACATTAATAAGCTGGTCGATATTAAATTGTAATTTTTGAGGACTTCATATGCATTTATTCGTTGGTACAACGGAAAATTTAATCTGAGTAAAATATTAATAAATACTTTTACCACTATACGAATTTTCAAAAAGAACAACGTTTTGTAGCTGTATAAGTTACCCTTCGCATGTTTCATAACCTTTTTTATAAGAAGTATTCTTAACGACAACTTCTCAAGATCACTTGCTTCAGAAGATGAATTTTTACATATACTATATAGATTTCAGAAGGCAACGGTAATGCCATAGTCGATTTTAGGAATGGGTTAATATTTAAATGAAACTCCGTTGTGGTTGAGATAATTTAATCCTGCGTATTGTATAGAGATGAATTTATTCAGCTCCAAGCTTTCTCTTAATTATCTTGATGATAATGTTCAAGGTTCACATTTCCGACTAATAAAGATGAACTTCTGAAATATCTGAATTATGGAATACTGTATACATTTCGTTATCATGTTTGGACGAGAGGTCATGCAGCAACGAATTATAATCTTTGGAAGGTGGCGGTTGATCCATACGAAGTTACGTGGGAACCGGATTTTGAGCCTTACATCGTAGTATCCAAATCCACGCCGCTATATGACCAAAGGTTTATCGGATTTGGCTGGAATAAAGTCTCGTACATCACACACTTAACTGCTCTGGGGTACAAGTACGTATAAACATACTTCCATCGATGGTTATACCGTTTACAAATATAAATATTTGAACAACAGTCATCATCAAATCAAAAATTGTTTAAAAAGAAGTACATAATTTCCTCAAACATCTAGATATTAAGGCATTTGTTTTTTTCGAAGTGCTACAGGAGAATATTCATCGGCTGAAGATACATTTAAAGAGTAGAAAATAGTCACGTAAATGGCATGAACATCTGAACATGGGAATGATTACTTTATCGAATCCTCTATTTAAAAAAATCGTGCTCAAATTGTTATATGCCTCAGTTATTATTTTGCTAAATGACCCTTCCCCTCCAGTTCATGCAGTAGTACCCTGAGTGTTGAAACGGTAATTTATGCTGCAAGGGCTCAAAAATATTTTCGGACGGTATTTCATCAAAATCCACACCGAAGACGCGGATTTTTATTTAAATATGTTGACTAGCAAGTTTTTCAGGTTTCAAAATATCTTCTTACAAAAATTATCACTATCGTTTCTTTGCAGGACAGGTTAAGACAAATATTCGATAATTTCTCCAATTGGAATTTTAATCACTGGTCGATATTTGATGCTAACATGGTACAAACTAACCTTCTCACTTCAAGTAAAATTTTTTAAAAACTGCTTTACTCACATGTATATCTTTTCGAATTGTTACATTGTATTCTTTTTCCCAATCCCCTCTGTACCACAATTATGCCAAGGGCCGCAGGGAAAAACCTCATCGGTCAAAATTTTGATGCCATGTGACATGTGGCATCAAATACCGCTCCATTGGCTGCCATTCCGATTGGAGAAATCATCAACATGCATTCAACCTATTACCGGAATACAAGTTAACTGACGATTTCTAGATACGTTGTATTGCCGAATGTGTTTATTATTCATCGACCCCACGGCCCTAGTGCAGATATTGGAAAATTTCGAACAGATCCATTGTACCGCAGGTAATTATTATCATGACAATTAAATCTTGTTTCTACAATTAGCTTAAAATCCCATTATATTTCCAGATGTTTGAAGAGGCTTAAAGATGAATTTATAGATGAGCTGATTACCAATTATGGCACGGCAGCCATTTCCAGAATAAAAAAAATGACCAAAGCATAATCGAAATAGACTGTGAGATTAATTTCATATGGTAAAAGAATGTAAAAATAAGTATATTGTATTATAACAGAATTTGAATTAAAAATAGAATTTTTTCCTGGGCCCGAAATTCCTCTAAATACTAGAATGAAGTGTTACACTTCTCACAATAATCCTCCACCCTTCTTCAACACTAGTCTTCCAAAAACTCCTCCACAAATCTCTCCTCAAAGTAATCCTCCAGAAAATATTTTCCACAATCTTCACGCGACAACCCTCGAAAATTATCTTTCACACTCTCCACGCAATAGGTGTTCATAATCTCCACACACAGATGTTCATAATCTCAGAAAATACAAAATACACTGCTTCACAACAATTTTCCTCAAAAACTCTCAACACTTTAATGGGGCAGTGACTCGTGGGCAGCTGTGGCACGACGGTACGAGTGCGGCTTGCTAGACGGGAAAGACTGGATCCTGGTATGCCCTCCACAAAATTATGGTATCAAGGAATGGTAAGGTAGAAACCGTTTAAACTCTGCGACATTTGAAAGAACGACCTAATCGTCTTCACATTTTCTATGAATAGTTTATTACCTTAAATATAGGATATCTACGGGTAAAATTTGGGATATCACTTACAGAATAATTAAAATTGGATAAACTCTCGATATAAAATGAAGAAAAGTATAAAAATCAGACAAACGTTATCTCATCATCAGACTCGTCACTCGGCTGCTGTTTTCCAACTGATCCGTCTGTACTCTCATTAACAACTACAAAGGAAGCAGAGGTACAAGGCTGCTGCCTAATAGTCTTCATCTCCTTATTTCTCTTATCGTCTCCATACAAATTTGAACTTTTCATCCTGGACAACATATCTTGGGATGGCATGAATTTCGAGCTTCCTCCCGCTGATTTCACGTTCTGACTTGATAGAACTAAGCCGTTAATAGTATTAACAATCAATTTGTTCCTTGCCTTGGTCTTGATTAAATTAACTTTGGAGAAAATACGTTCACTATCGGCATTAGAATATGGGAGGCATAAGATTTGCAATACAACCGCAGAAAGATTACGGAATAGATAAACACCTCCGTCATCATCATTCTTCACGGCTGATAGCTCGCTCCAAAATGCATCCGTTTCCAATCCAGCAAGGTGGTGATTTTGCTCTTCGACATATGAATGTAAAGGAAATCCACGCCATTCATTGTCAATGGCTTGAAAATCAGCATTTTTGCAAATCCTTGGTAGCGATGAGAGTAATGGAGCAAGAGTAGGTACTGTATCTCTGAGAGTTTGGGATAAGGTAGCAGCAGGCTTGAAAACTCTAATTTTATTCAAGACAGGGTTCTCAAAATCATAGCGTTTCTTGATTTCAAGACATCCTGCAATTAAAAAATTTCTTCATCTGTCATGGAAAAATTTCGTCAAATCATTCTCTTCAATGAAAACATGCATTTCATTCATGACGTGAACACCCAAATATATCTGCGAATTTGGGAGAAAGTGTGAACTCTCTTCAGGATTTATTTCTGACAAATCTGTTGAAACTACGTAACTCCTCTTCATGTACGAGCAAAGAAGCTCTCTGTAGAGTTCTGTCATTTTATCATGCACGTCTGTTATGACCACTTTACTTGACTGGAAGTATTGATTGACACGTGAGAAGAGTGGTAGCACTCATTTCAGGAAAAAGAAATACAGCTTATTGAAAGGATCATGTAAGGCATTATAAATAGTCTCAGCTATCACCAGCTTTTCCTGAAATCTGTGCTCTGTGAAATATAATTCTAACGCTGACCACTGCTCCAGCATTCTCTCCACCACTGCGCTCATTGATAGCCAACGAGTTTGAGAAGGGTGCAACAATGAATGAACAGGAGAGTCTGTGAAAACTTGAAATTGAGAGAATCCAGATAATCTCTTAGCACATGCATGGAAAAAATGATAGACATTTCGAGCTAAGTCTTCAACTGTACGAGGTAATTGTTTACAGACAACTGGCAGCCAAATGCAGTGAGTGACATAAACATTTGAAAATAATAATTCCTAGGAAATCACGTTTCAGCCTGCTTGCGACTGAATTAAACTCCCCCATCATCACGTTGCATCCGTCTGAACCAAAACCAATGATGTTTTCCATTGGAATACCTCGATCTTTGAAGCTTTTTATAAGAGCGGAGTATAGATGTTCTCCAGTAGCACTTGTAACAGATCTCTCCTTATTAAAAACTTGTGACAACTCCCAGAATTTACTCGCGATTCTACCTTTTTTTTCGTCGTAGAAACGAACTATGCAGCAACTCGACTTTGTACTGGAGATATCGGTGGACTCATCTGTAAGAACACGGAATTTTGTGTTCTTCAGTGTGTGTGTCAATTCAAGTTTCTCACTCTCACCGATGACGTTTGTGACAACTGCAGTTCCTTTAGTCCTTTTCAAGGCCAATTTTTTGGCAATTGCAGAATCGTGAAAGAGATTCTTCAATTTGGGAGTGAGTTTATCCATCAAATTAAGCGCAATGTTGTGCTCAGCGAAAAAACCTGTCAGTTGGATCTCTGCGATGGTCACGTTGGTGTCCAAGGTAAAGGATCCATGACTGCTGACAGGTTTCATGAAGTTGGTAATTTTTGAAGCTTTTGATAGCGTGGCATTCTCTTTTGATTGATGTTTCAATGATTTTTTATGAGATAGCAAGACTGAGGAATCAGCAGTGAGAATTTGATTGCACAATTTACATCGTGCTTTGTACATGTCATCGGGAATCTTCAGGAGCCTCTGCATGAACCTTTCATCTGACACCCAGTCCGTCCGAAATCTCTGAGCTATTTTTGCTCTTTTAATTTTTTTAGGTGGAGTATCAGGGAGTTCCTCCTTTTCTGAATCTGCCTTTCTAGTTAAAAAGGGTATGGTCAATAGCTTGTAAATTCAACTTGCCGTTATAATTAATTAAAAGTGGCTGAAAGCATGATTATCTACCTGAAAAAGATCGGGAATAATTAAACCGATACGCAGTAGCGTATCTTGATTATCAGAAATGATATAATATATCTGCAAATAATGACGACTCATTCGAGTTTGGCGGAAATGGAAAGCACTTGTAAGCCAGATCGGACAATGTACAGAAATAATCGCCTTGCATGATACAAAATCATGCAGAGAGACAACCATAGTACAGACTCTGTGATTTGTCAACATTTTAAAAGAATGTCCATCATTGGTTGAAACCTCAAATTGCAGAAACTTATTCTATCTGACGACGGTGCCTTTTGTGACCTGCATTATCAGCCGTTCGAGAATAGTGTCGATGTTTCTCATCTATCGTCTATAGTCGCATGAACTCCAGTGGCGGGAGCATTCAAATGCAAAACCTGATGATTAATATGGAAATATTGAAAAAAATCGACAAAAAATATCAAATTCAGGGTTTCAAAATTATGGTAGCGATACCATAATTATGGTATACCTGGCAACACTGCGACGAATGATGGCTGCCAATTATCCTCGCTTCTTCTCTCTGGATTTTCGGGGGTCATCGGGTTGGAATCTCGGGCGTCTCAGGCGACGATTTTTCCTCCTTATCTCGTATACGGGGGGGGGGGGGGGGGGGGGGGGGGGGGTATGAAGGGTATTTTCCTTCCTTATCCTGACCTATCATGTCTTTGGGGGGTCATGTGGGGTTCTCTTCTTTCTCCAAGGTGATGGGCGAGTGTCGTGGTGAGATGAAGGAAGTCGGGGCAGAGAATATCCTGGGATAGGTTACCTAACGCTGGCAGAAACATGTCTTAACCTAACTTAACTTATATTACTTAAATGATTCGAAAATATATAGGGGCAGGAGGGAGGGGGTGCAAAATTCTGCCTCGTCACAAGATCTATTGAAACAAAAAATAGAAAAAACTATGGAATTCGGTGTACGTTGGCAGGAGTTAATAATCACGTAACAATATAAAACAATAATCCGGATTTAACATTCACATGAGATTCAGTAATTCACAGCGGTTCAACATGGTTTACACCAAGCCTGGGCAAAGTGAGCTCTCAGAGGTCACTGAGCACCCAACCCCAATTAGGTCAGTGGCCACGAAAAACTGGGTCCTATTATATTGTGTTGGTAGTCTACGAGCACTATGCTTAGGCCTGAGTGGGGGTATCGTTATAAGTCAATGCGCAAAAATTTTAATTTTTGAAAGAAAAATATGAACATTTTCGTTGTCGTATTTTCTGTGTCAACTCCTGCGTAAAGTTCGGCTTAATAAATCATTCCGAATTGAATATTTCAGCAGCAAATGAGTTGAAAAACATTGGTGAAACGATTTTTCGTGAATATTATTTGAACACTTTCTAATGTTCAACAGGTGACAGTCTTCCTTAAATTTAAAAGATATTTGACTGTAAAAAAGCACGGAAACAAGAAATTTGACTTGCATCATTTCATCTCTTGTCGATTTTTGGTCATTATATCGATCCCACTGTTGAATCTTTGTAAATTCATCCATTTCCAGTTAGTCATGAAAATTAATAGTTGCTGTGAAAAAAAAATCACTCGGAGAAAGTAACCGAGTGAAGTTAATTAAAAAAATATCATCCATTAAAAAATCTAATAAACAATCCCAGTTTTTTATTTTAATGAAATGGACCATTCATCACACCTTGAACATTATCGATTTTTGTTTTTTGTGCTCTTCCGACCATTCGTATCTAGAAAACGCAATTTCCCAATTATGGGAGGTCCATTGGGAGTCCATGGGAGGTCAATTGATGAGGTTTCACGTGATTATTCATTTTTATTTCGAAATTGTTCGTTTAAATATTTAAAATAAAATAGTATATGAAACACGTCGGTTATGCAGTTTTTGACTCGTGGAATTGTAACTCCCACGAGCCAAAAAATCCATCACACACTCATTGCAAAATATACTATTATAACAGTGTTAAGTTTCTACAATGAAGGCCCTTTGATATCTTGCCGTCGAGCTGCTTATTCCTATCTATTATAACGTAGTATTTTTATTCTCGACCTTCATCGGTTGTGAGGTGTCCAGCCGAGAAGTCAATCATTGGCGAAGCAAGAGTCGAGTATGATTGGTTTCTTATAATTGATTTCGTTTCTT